TGTGGATTTGGGGTTACTTTTTTTAACTGAAAATTGGGGCTTTTTTTAAAAATCAGAGGAAACCAAAATCTTTGCATACCTAACTGCCCTTGTACAGAATGCCTCAAGACTGGGGAATTACGGGCCTCCTGATTCCCAGGCCAGCCAGCCCTCAGGTTCATTGCTTGGCAAGTAGGAAGCACAGGGAGACAACTGGCCTGAGGATGTGGAAGCAAATGAGTCTCCTGTCTGAAGCAGTTCACATTATCAGGGCTCCCAGAACTTCCCGGTTCCCAGCTCCCTGTGGCAGGTAGCTGATTGCTGGCTACAGTAGGATTTCCAGCACTTTCAGAGTCCTGGGTCCACAGAGCAAACCTGGAAGCCCTAGTATGGTGGGGAGAGAGGGATGCTCTGGGGTGGCCAACATGTCTGGCGGTCCCAATCAGAAAGTGACTTTGGAAGCATATTCAGTAGGCACATCTACATGAGTTATTTATTGTGGAGTTTCCTAACTAGCTCCTCAGTAAATGTCTTGGCATCTACATGTACAACCCTATTAGGCCACAGGAAACTAATAAACTCCACAGCAGGGTGGTACTTGTAACTACCCTGCTGTGGAGTTTTTTACAAGTATTTACAAGTACTACCCTGCTGTGGAGTTTTTTCATGTGCAACAATGCACATGTATATGTTGATGGGGCTAGCTGGGGCATGAAGGTGCCCTAGTGTGGGAGCTGCCTGCCAGCTAGCCCCATACTGAAGTACCCTAATGCCCCAACCAGCCCCTCTGCAGCACGTTGACCTGGGTTCAAGCACGCCCTCCTGACCTGTTGCTAGCCAGGGCTGCTCTGACCCAGCTCAACATGCTGTGGTCCTGGGTACATGTTCAAATGACGTGCTCAGGAGCAATAAACTCTGGCTCAATATGCGCCAGAGTTTATTGCTGCAAATGAATTGCACATGTAGACATGTCCAGTTAGATCTTAGCAACAAATATTGGAAAGAATATACAAAGCTGGGCATAACAGCCCCCAATCAGTTCTGCAATCCATCTAACAAAAGCAGTGATTAGCAGAAGATAATTGGACTCTAAGATATATCCACAATACATTTATAAAAGGCAACATTCCTAGAATAAGCTATTCTTTGTGAATTATATTCCCAGCCCAATTAATAAATAATCTGCTATACAAAAAACAGCAAGAAAGAAGGGAAAGCAGCTTTAGTTATGCAAATATGTGCTGACTGCGTCAGCATATGGAGAGGGTACGAGTGCATTACCTATGTAACTTCCCCATCCAAGTAGTGGAGCCACTGACCAGAAGAAAGCTGCCACCCAAATGAGAAAAAGTGTCACAGTAATATTGCTGTTGCTGATATAGTTACCTGAAATACACAGCATAGTGAAGAAACAATGGTTAGATGACTTCACCTTTTCTGATAAAATCGATGAACATCAAACTATTGTAAAGAATTTACCAGCAGGGAGAACTAGTTGGGGAAATCAAGTTACTTTCAATAATTCTCAGAAAAAAATGCTTGTAAACTGGAGTCACCTGCTTTGGACTCATTTAAAAGGCGTTTGGATGTTTATCTTGCTGGGATCATTTGATTCCCGCAGACTTCCTTCCTATGGCGGGGGGGGCTAGACTCGATGATCTCGCGAGGTCCCTTCCTAATGTCTATTAAAACTATGAAAATATATCAGTGACTTGAATATTCAGTATTGGAGATACAATAGAGTAGAATATTAGATGCGTTCTGAATTAGAGGAGCGAATAAGAGAACTAGGAAATTCAGTGATAAGACTATAAAAACAATACGTTGATTTTGCCTTTTTGGAAAAGAAAGTATATGTCTAACATGAAAAGGGAAACAAATTACAATTGAAAAAGCCTGGAAGAGAAGTGAAATCCCCTAAAATCATGGACTAGTTTAAAACGTTTTGGAAGTTTTAGTAATGGAAAAAGTTGTCCTATCGAATCAGTGTTCTACAGGGGAGAAGGCAAAAAGATGCTTACTTGGAAATCTGGTGGAAATTTTTGGAATTTGCTAACAAAGGATCTTCTCTTGCCTGCCTTCAAACCAGAAAATTTGAGAAATGTTTTTGAACACTGAAGTAAAAGTCTATGCCGCCACTGGATTGAAAGGAACATTTGGATAATGCTATCTTCTAAGTACAAAAACTGCTTTCACTGTACCTCTCTACCATCCACTTTGTTCTCCCCTACTCTCCAGTTTCTCCAGATCACCCCCTACTTCCCTGCACCATGACGGATGACAAAGCATCATTTCCATGGCTAGTTTCTGAGTTTGTCTGTGCTAAAGTATCTAATGCTTCTGCCGCTGCTCAGCTGTATCACTGGCCCTAAATAATGTTGCATTTAAGAGCATCAAGAAAGGGAAAGAATAAGTTATATGAGAAAGAGTCTGACTCTTTACACCATTCATTTGTGTAGAACAGCCTTAAAGCAAAAATAAATATATTTATACCTTAATACATTCCTGGAGTGGAATAAGAGGTCTGTCATTAAATATGACTTCTATTTTTAATATTCACTTTTATCATTACAGTAGATATTTTAAGTACCTTCATCTTAGGGTTACCATATTTCCAGGATCAAAAAAGAGGACCCATTTTGGGGAAGAGCAGGAGGGGCAGGGGAGTGGGGCAGGGGAGCAGAGGGGAAGGGGCATATGATTGTGAAGGGGCAGTGATATACCTGTGCCCTGCCTCTGCCCCGCACTCCTAAGCCCCTGCCCCCCAGTCCTTCCAGTGCCCCTCACTCCCAACCCAGAGCCCCCTGCCCCCCCTACCCTGCCAGCATACCTCACTCCCAACCTGCAGCCCCCTGCACCCTAGTGCTGCCGGTGCCTCTTACTCCTGACCCACAGCCCCCACCCCCCATCTCTGCTGGTGCCCCTCACTCCTGACCCAGAAGCCCCTGTTCCCCCAGCCCTGCTGCCCACACAGCTGTGGGCACACACACACACTTGCTGGGGCCTGTGCATACAGCATGTGACTCCTGACAGCAGATCACTTTGCCTGCGGCTTCCAGCCCCAAACAGCCAGCCTGGGAAAGCAGAGGAAGAGCAAAAACTCAGACATTTCCTCACATTTTAAAAACCCACCCAGACACAAGGTGGTTGTCCAAAAAAGAGGACATGTCCGGGAAAACCCGGATGTATGGTAACCCTACTTCATCTGCACTGCAAGGGCCTTGGGAGCTTGGCCCTAGGGCTAAGGACAGACATTCAAAAAGCCTGAGCCTGAATTGATTCAATCTTTGCAGATTGGTCTAACCTGCTTCAGCAGCAAGGGAAGCCAGGCAGACCCTGCTGTGCCTGTAGTCTGCCCCAGAGCTTTGGCTAGGGAGGAGAGGAGCAGGGCCAGCCTGTTCATTGCACCCTAGAGCACAGCCTAGCCCAGCCCAGAGCTGCAAAACATCTGGGATATGGGGGGCTCTGGTTTAACTTAAACCAGGAAGGGGTCTGGGATAGAATTGCATAAATCAGTTTGACCCAAATCGGTTAAGTCTGATACTACATTCAACTAGGTTGATCTTAAACCAGTTTCCACCATTTTGAAACTGGTTTATGTGTAATGTCTGTCCCTAGCCTACCTGTGTGTGATCCTGGTACCCTAGATGCTATTAATTTGGCTCTCAAGGTGCCAGCGGTGAGGTAGTCCCTAAAGAAGAGGTGACAAAAATACTAATTTTCTTCAAAGCACAAGATATTATTAAAGTGCTAGTTACTTAAGGTAAAGTTCATAAAGGAACTGAGACACTAAAGTAAAGAGTGATCTGCGGAAACCCACTTAACTCCATTAGGTGGCCAAAGACCCCTAGGTGCCTACATTTTTGCCAGAAAACCATTGCCACTGTATATGATCAGTTCTCTTGGCTGGGCTGAGTATTTAGGCAAGTAAACCTATTCAGGATTCACAAACTGCACCTAAGCCCCTGTGGGCGCATGTAGACATGCAGAGTCATGAGGTATGCGGCACCACATACTGCACAGTCTGGTGTTCTCCATGCTACAAGGGCCTGCTGGCCAAGCATGCTGGGGGGTTTTTCTGTGTTTTTTTTTGACCCCTGAATATCTATTTGTCCCCGGGGAACCAAACATCCATGCACATCTAGATGCACCCTGTGGGGCCCAATCCACACATGCAGAGCTGTTCCTTGGGGGGTGGGGCGTGAATCAGGATGACCACCCTGGGTCCTGCACTTTGGGGGGCCCTGCTCCACCACTCCGCACAGCCACCACATGCCACAGGCTTTGTGCTCCAACTGCTCGCCACCCCCTCCCCTCACACACAGAGGCCTTGCACAGGCTGATATGCCCCAGGCCCCGCACACCCCTAGGGTCAGCTGTACACATGAGGAAGACAAGAATCTGGAAAACAGCTGAGTTACGAGATAGTGTGGGGATTATTGATGACTGGAGGAGGGTTGGGAGAACAGGGTTATAAGAGAGATTTGGAACAGAGGAGTGAGCATTTTTAGAGGAAGAAAGTTTTCAGCAGAACAGGCGGTACAGAATGAATGGTGGGAGAAGGTCATCAGGTGTTGTGGGATGACTGACAGGCATCAGTGGAGCATATACAGGCATGAGAACAGAATGGGTGATGGTGGCATGTTCACGTAGGACTTGGTGAGGACAAGTAGTATATGCATTTAACAGATTAAGGGACAGGAAATAAATGTAGGTCTGCAAAGGGATGTACAACAGTAATAAAGGGAGATACTTAACAGTGGCAATTCAGCAAAGCCAGAGTATATGGGAGTTAGAAAAATGCATGGTTTATTAGAAAATCAAGAGCCAGTATTTGACAGAGGGCTTAACCACTAGGAATAGTGAAGACCTTTTGAGAGGTTAAAGGGAAGAAGTGACAAGATTTAGACAGGGGACTAGAGAAGGGAGGGGTGACAAGGAGAGTCAAAGGTGACAGGAAGGTTTGAAGCTGAGGAGGAAAAGAGAGTTGTTTTGTCAATGGAGGTAGATGAGGGAACGGAATGAAAGACTAGGATGAAAAATCATAGGGTCATAGGATAATAGAAAAGTAGGGCTGGAAAGGAACCTCGTGGCTAGGTCCAGACATTCCAAAAGCCCAAGGTTGAATCAATATAAGTTACGCCGTTTTCTGTAATCAGAGTAGTTTAAATCGGTGGCGAGCAAAACACATATTTGCCGTTTGGTGCAGGGGGAAATCTTAGGCCAGGTTCCACCATTTTAAAATCAGTCTGTGTGTGCTGAACTTCTGTTCAGTTATGATTATAGACCAGTTTTGTGTATTGAACTTCTCTTCTGTTACGGGTACAGATCAGTTTCAGATCACTTATACAAGTAAAAGTGTAATGTCTATATCTCGCCCTTGTGGTCATCTAGTCCAGCCTCATGATCAGAGCAGGATTATCCCTGTAGTAAAGCCATCCTACTACAGTGTCCGTCCAACCTGCTCTTGAAAATGTCCAGGGATGGAAATTCCACAATTTCTCTAGGTAGCCTGGTCCAATGCTTGGCTACCCTCACAGTCAGAAAGTTCTTCCTAATCTCAAGCCTAAATTTCCTCTGCTTTAGTTTAAAGCCACTGCTCCCAGTCCCGTTCCCTACAGCCACAGAGAAAAGTCTATCTCTAAAGATAAATTTAGTCTGAAAGGTACTGGGCTTGATTCTAATCTCACATGGTGTCCTTTTTTATAGGCAGATCAGAATTAGGTCTACTGATCTTGAGATAGTGCTGGTATATTGCAGACACAATTTCAGAGAGGCATCTTGAAATACAAGACCGGATAGGAGTGGAGAGGTTGTGGGGAGAGCATTAGGCCCAAGAGTCCCAGGTGGCAGCTAAGCCAATTCACAGTGCCTGCAGAGAGCAGGTAAAAGTCCCATGAGCAGGCAGAAGCTGGCAAAACACCACTAAGGGCAAAAATGTGTTTCCAAAAGGCAGTAATCTATGCTGAGTATATTACCAACAGCTGGCAACTGTCCTAAATTTCATATAATTCAAGATAGATAAATGTATGCATCAGTCAAGTACCCTACTTTGAAAGGCTTAACGGATACCCAGACTGAAAGCTTTGATGGAAACAGGATTCTAACAGACATTATTGGGTATGTCTGCACTATACAGGCACCTCCACATTCCCTCTGTTTCTGAATTGGAAGCAGGATAGCTGTGTTAGTATAATGCTGTGTGGCGATGAAGAAACCACACTAACCGGGCTATACTGCTTCCAGTTCAGGAGCTAGCATGCACAGAGCTGGCATGGCATATTTCAGCACACCACTGCCTGGCATCCTGTTGGCATACACATCTAGTCTGATTTTGATTTTTTGTGCATGCATTTGACATTAGTGAAACCCCCACAAGTTCAAGG